GAATATTCTAAAGCACTGATACACTCCATCATACTCACCTTTTTATCCTGATACATTCCATCTTACTCCTATTCCATCCTACTCCTATTCCATCCTACTCCTGTTCCATCCTACTCCTATTCCATCCTACTCCTATTCCATCCTACTCCTATTCCATCCTACTCCTATTCCATCCTACTTCTATTCCATCGTACTCCTATTCCATCCTACTCCCTTTCATCCTGATAAACTTCCGTCCTACATCTCTCCTTCCACACTGATCCACTTACATATATTCTACTTCGCTACCATCATTCATCCTACATCAAATCCATCTTATCTCCTTCCTAACTTTCTTTTCTAATAAAAATCAATTTGAAGGAATTCATTTTGAATTATTTTCTTGTATAATGTCAAAAGTGACTAATGATATTATAAATTCAAGATGGTTTAATTCATCCTTCTACAACCAATATATCAGGATTTTAGAACGGTAAGTTGCATTTTTAGTTATAAATATCTAAATATACATATATTTACATTTTTCACATATTATTGAAAAAATTGGAAGGTTCCTGACCACTTATACTCTCTTGTAGGTTCCTGATCAATAATCCTCTCATAAAGGTTTCTGACCAATTATTCTCTCCTGAAGGTTCCTGAAAAACTATCCCCTCTTAAAGGTTCCTGACCAACTATACTATCTTGAAGGTTTCTGACCAATTATTCTCTCTTAAAGGTTCCTGACCAACTATACTATCTTGAAGGTTTCTGACCAATTATTCTCTCTTAAAAGTTCCTGACTAACTATCCTCTCTTGAAGGTTTCTGACCAATTATTCTCTCTTAAAGGTTCCTGACCAACTATACTATCGTGAAGGTTCCTGACCACTTATCTTCTCTTGAGGTTCCCGACCAACTATCCTATCTTGAAGATTTCTGACCAATTATTCTCTCTTGAAGGTTCCTTACCAACTATCCTCTCTTGAAGGTTCCTGACCAAATTTCTCTTTTGAAGGTTCCTGACCAAATATCCTCTCTTGATGGTTCCTGATCAATAATCCTCTCTTGAAGATTTCTGACCAACTCCTATCTTGAATGTTCCTGACCAACTATTCTCTATAGGTGGTTCCTAACCAACTATTCTCTATAGAAGGTTCCTGACAAACTATCCTCTCTTGAAGGTTCCTGACCAACTATCCTCTCTTGAAGGTTCCTGACCAACTATTATATCTTGAAGGTTCCTGACCAAGATTGAAGAAGGCATGTTGAATCTGAAGGTTTACTGAGTTCGTAAGTATCCTGAGATTATCCTGTTAAAATAGTTCTGTTTCTTAGTACTCAGGATAGATCCAGGAGACCTTTAGTAAACCTACTAAATCTTCCTTCAATAGGTCACTGTGTGGGGGGGGGGGTATAATTCACTTTCCCTATTATTGTCCAGTGTGTCCTTCCTTTGAACTGTAAAAACCTGTGTAAAAGAAGATGGTAGGGATAGAGAGAGAGAGAGAATACATGGTTCCAGAATACCTAAATACTTCACATTCATCCAGACATAACAACCATGCTTTAAATCTTTAAATATTTCCCGGAGAAGAGAAATTTTTATTGCATTTTTAAGATTGCTGATGACTTTGAACAATCCCTGGAAAGATGGGAAAGGAAGGTTGACAAAGATTAGAATGGTTGGGGCAGAATGCGGAAGGTTAATAGAGGAATGAAGATCCTATTTAGATGAGTAAAGAAGGATTTTAGCTGAGTTGTTCTGAGCATGCGAGTATGCGTCCCAGTCCTAGACAAGTGTAAGTACATTCAAGGAGAAAAGACCTTAAAGATAAAAGAAAAACTGAACCAATAAACTGGTAAAAAAAAGAACCGTGGAAAATATAGCTGATCTGGATGAAGATAATAAAAAACCTTCCGAGTCATATCTTTTCGCTAAGATCTTATTCAAGTCTTGTTCATTTTCCTTCTCATTCTATCAGGACATTTTATAGTAAAAACCAACCCTTTTTATAAACGTTTTCTAAAAACTTCCAACTCAATCTTTTATATCTCCACATTTTACAACCTCACCGAGATTTCATGTTATCAGATCATGAATCTGGGACCAAGAAGAAATTCGATCTTGGAAAAAATGATAAAAAATGTGAATAAATCAGTTTACTGATCGAGAATAGAAAATTTTAATTTTCCCAATAGAATTTGGACATTTTTACGTCAAAATATTTTTTCCAGTCCGACGATTCCATACAAAAAATTGCATGGGGGCAGATTGGAATACCTTTATATTCATGTTCTCTGGCCTGTAGTTCAATGATTTAGTTTCAATTTACATTTGTTTGTTTGTTCCTCTACATATAGGTTATTTGTTTTAATTCACGTACTTTCCTTCGTGGGAGGTAGGATGAGGGGGGGGGGGTAAATAGTTGTGAAAGAATCAATGGAAGGAAATGGATGGAAAGATTTGATAGAGAGGATTGACAGGGAACGTAATGGAAGAAAATCAACGTAAGAAAATGAATAAAGGCCTAGGATTTACATGGAAGTAAATGAATAGAAGAAAATGATTGGAAGAAAAGGAATAAAAGGAAATTAATGTAAGGAAAGGAATAGGATGAAAGGAAAGAAATGGAAGGAAATTAATGTAAGAAAAGGAGTAGGATGAAAGGAAATAAATGGAAGGAAGGAAATTTATGGAAGGAAATTAATGTAAGGAAATGAAAGGAAGAAAATATATGGATGAGAATGAATGTAAATACCTAAATGGAAGGAAATGAATGGAAAAGAATTAATGTAAGTAAATGAATATAAGTAAATGAATTGGAGGAATTGAATGGAAGGTATAGAATGAAAGGAAATTAATGGAAGGAAATGAATGTAAGGAATTGAACGGAAGGTATAGGATGAAATGAAATGAATGGAACAAAATGAGTGGAAGGAAATAAATGAAATAAATTTTTTAGGGAAAATGATGGAGGGGAATGGATGGAAAGAGAGG